CTTTCTTAGCTCGTAGGTTAAGCCCATATGGAAACAACGTGTTAAGCTTAAGCATCCAAGTATCCTCTATATCTTCACGTTGTTTCAAGGTGGTAATAGCAGGAAGAAGATGTACCGGCATAATAGAAATGTTCTCAGGACTATGAACCTCAGTGAAGTGTTCTCTCAAAACCCTACAACCACCACCCCTGGTAATAGTCGATTTGTGCTGGCTAACCCTAGCCTTAATGGTGTTAATGGTATGGCCCACATACTGGTAATTACACCCAATATGCGTACACTTTATCACATAGACACAATTCTTAGTATCACACGAACCATTGAACGTGAGGGAAAAGATTCTTTAGTGACATGGTTCTTGACATAATTATCCATGCAAATTCTAGATGAGCATGACATACAAGAATTCCTGTCACATCTATACATGCTATAGTTTGAGTCATCTGCAGTAGGAGCGTTCTGGAAACTGTTGTTATTCATGATCACTTGTGACAGAAAACAAGAAGAGAGACAAAATTGTCATGGATCAGACGAGGCGTCGAGACAGCCGTAGATAATCCCCAAGTATTTACGTCTTCAGTTTACAAATCAGTGAAACACAAACATACTATGCGGGGGGACTACAGACCCCCTCAAAGTCCTTTACAACGTTACTGCCAGGTTACATAGCACTGAAAGTGAAAATCAATATCATCAGAAATTCAAATTCAAAGCAATGCCGTCATAGTATTACAAAGCCCCAAAACGCAACAATGCTTCAAACTCTATTATAACATGAGCATGCAAATAACATAAATCATCTAAAAACTGAAAAGGATAAAATAAAATAAGAATATAAACTAGGTCAACTAAATAGTACTAATACAACAACTCATCTCACCAAAGAGATCCCTAGACACGCACGAAATAACTCAAATAATGTAAATAAGGTGAAAATAGGAACTCAATCTAGGTTCCAGGTACAACCACACGCGGGAAGCGTGAGCCGAAGAGAAAAGGCACATTACACTCAAGATTCAAGGTCCAAATTAATAAAAGCGATATATGAAGGACAAACAAATATGAACTACTCCAACATATCAACAGTCTACACATTCCTAATCAAATATTTTGATAACACGATCGTAAATATCTACCCCAAATTTACACCAGATATTAAGTTTAGAATTGTAAAACTATGTTATAGTTATATTTATAAAACTTAACGTTTTTTTATTGTTATACCTTATAAAAAATACACAACTGATTGATAAAATTTATAATGTATTGATGCTTTTCATGCAAAGTTACAACAAAGTCTTCATGTTATGTATATTGTATAGTTATAATATGTACTAAAATTATCAAAACTAAAAACAAAAGTACCATAAATGTGCTGCTCATATTATTATACCTATTATATCTTTATATTAATTATTATTAAATTCGGTAATAATTCCGTAATCTCTTTTAAAAGTTCGTGGAGTGCGTTTTGCCCAATTATGCCTGTCTTTAATCACTATTACTCAACTTTTCAATCAGCCTTTCCATAGAATGGTTGTCAATCAAGTCTTCTACTGAAGGTGAATCCCCCTTGCCCTCATGCCAAATAGGTTTACCAACGTGAGAGTAGTCGGGACCCCTAAGCCCAGCAAATTCGGAAACCTTATCGTTTCTTGTCAGATGAACTTCAAATTGGACACCATTGTGTTTGCCGTCTGTAAGGAGATTGAATGCAGGGTTAACTCCAACAGGACCAGGTCCATTAAAGGAGGCACCAGCTATCCCAAGTGCACTACTAACACATTCTGCCATCAGTGCCCCAAGGCTGTGGCCACATACAAAATCTGGTTTTTGTTCCTCAGCTCTAAAAATTGCAGCATCCCTTCCCAGCCGTATTGAGGGCCCTGCCCAAATGATACTTGCATCCTGAAATGTAGCTACCAACGCTTTACGACGCTCTGAGAAGTCGGAGCCACGAATGGCCATTATCCTTTTTCCTTTGTGCTGCCCAACCAAAATTTCGTAAATCCCAAATTGGATACCTTTATCAGGATGATCACTATCCTGTAGTTGGCGGTGCACAATCTTCAGTTTACCATCACAAGCCTCCTCGCGACCTGCATCAAGATTGTAGGAATCGCTAGCAGCTTCTGCCAGCAGTATTAGCAGCTCCTTGTCGGAAAGGTTTTCTGTCATGTTGGGTTTTCGTGAGTGTGCCATGTGGGCAGCTCCATCCATCATTGTTTCCAACCCCTTTTCCAACCATTTATCCATATCACTTGTGTATTTGCTTAGATAGAAAAGTGTTAGTATTGTCAACATCGTCAATTTATCCAATTCCAGCTTATCACAAAGCAAAACATCTTTAGGGGGAGCTGGAGGGGGTTTCCAAATGATGATGAAGGTTGATTATGGGGGGGGGGGGGGGGGGGGGGGGGGGGGGGGGGCTTCAATATCCGGTTCCGGCTCCGGTTTCAAAAAATTTGCTGGATTTTTGCCGGATATTTCTTTTAAAAAATGTATTTCTAAAATCTTGAAATGCATATTTTTTGTCACATTTTAACTCGAATCCCTAAAAATCAAACATTTTTTGACTTATAGGTGTGGACTTTGAAAAACCAAAAAAATATTCTCGGTTAATAATGAACAGGGTAGCATGAAACTTGGAGAAAAGTTGTTTTCAGAAAAAAAAACCGCTTCCGAGCTCGTGTTGCAAAGGGGAGGCCTGCAATTACTTAGCTTCCTTGTTAAGCTAAGTAAATGTAAGAAAGATTTTTTAGTAATCGTGGAAACGAAGTATGTACACAATATGATATCAATCAACTTTATTTTTACTCTTGACAATCGGTGAAAGGTTATAACTTTATAATATTTCCTGCAAATGTTACTACATGTGTCAAATCGGAAGTAGAGAAATGAAGAGTAACCTAAATAATGAACCCGTTAATTGTTATAACCAGTAAAAATCATGCACGAATTGCACGTGTCAGAATGGTATTCAGAATTCTTGCACATTTCGTTTCCTAAACTCGGGTCAGACAGAGTTTATACAGAATAAGTAACAAGGATAGGTACGGACAGTAATGATTGGTTCCAATATTGGAATACTGGTCCCTGATTGGTTCCAATATCGGAATACTGGTCCCTGATTGGTTCCAATGTGTTTATCTAGAGAGATCTACTCTGTATACAATGTCACCTACTCAATCTACCGGGACTGAAACGTCACTAACCAGGTTTACCTTATCACTAGACTACTCCCTCCCACTGGCTACTATCTTATCAGTACAGTACTGAGTACAGAGTACCGGTACTATTCTAGTAAACAGACACACTTAGTCAGGTAGGGAAGTAGGGAGAGACACAGACTTATCATATATTATTGCTGACGTAAAAAATATTTTCGTCAGCAAGGCCCAGACAGCCCATAACCCCCAGACAGCAGAATGCTGTCTAGTAAAAACGATCCAGTGATAAAATATGCTTGCATGCGAATCAGGGTACTATCGTGCCCTGAATCGGGTACTACTGTGTCGCTTAATTGGAACTAACCAGTGATTAAGTGCGCCTGCATGCTAAAAAGGTACAATTGTGTCCTGAATCGGGAACTATTGTGCTTTGATACTCAGACCTTCATGAAAAAAAGGGAACAACTGTGTCTTACACGTACAATTGCGCTCAGGGGTCTGGTAGGATATGCCAATTGCATATAATTTCTTATAATAACTTGCCTACTCTTGTTCCAACGTTCTACTTGTTGATTTGATATTTGACATATGTCTACTGCTAGGCCTAAACAGTAAACATCATCGGTATGGTCGTATAGCTCTTAGAAATGCGGAACTTATTATGTAATTACAAACTATGGCTTATAAGGATTAATATCATAATTGATAATGACAAAAGCCCAATAATAAGGATTAATTTAAATTTTCCGGCAAGTTCCGGCTGCCTTATATTTCACCCTCCTAACACCGGTTCCGGGGCAAAACAGTTGACCCCTTAAAAGCTGAAAGTAAAGTAAGTGGGTAAAATTAAAAAATATTCACTTTTATTACAAAGTCGTGAACACAATGCCACTAGATGAAGAAGGTACTAATTTTAAACGATAAACAAAAAACAATAAAGTTTAAACCGGCACAGTACACACTGCAAAACATAGGAGTGCCTGAAGAAAGATCAAAGAATGTGCAAATCCTAATGATAGAAAACTATTCAACAATAAGATCATGATAATTTGATTTGAAACTTTTACCCAATGTTGTACACGCCATACAAAGCAACAATATTGAAAATTTGATCGCTACCATCTCTATTTATCTTCAGTTTATCCTATCCAAACAACGTACATTTTGTACTGGCAGCTTGTGGCCTGTGTCAAAGTAAGTTCAAAATATTGGTAAGATAATATCCGCTATCCATTAACATCCTTGAGAGGTTATTATTTCTCGGGCGTTTACTCTGGGTCCTAATCTCGAGATTTCTAAGTGTTTAATTACAAGAAGGAACTAAAATCAAGGGAAAATATGCTATTTTGATCTATTTATAAATACATTCACCTAGTATCAATTACACCAACTTGTTTCAGCGAACCAATATAATATGATATGTAATGTTATCTGTACTTTGCTAATTGGCAGCCGTTTCTTCTCTATGTATTCCAAGTGTTTGCGCTGTTGCCCTGCAATGGGATTTAAATTGTGCTAAATTTTATCAAATATGATTAAAAAATGAACACGATTTAATTAACTGTGGTCATTGTCATCCAAAATATGATTTCCGTATTATAAATTAAACCAATATTATTCATCTATTTGGAAAGAAATATTCCAAAGACGACGCCCAACCTGAGTAATGAAATGAGATCTTTATTTTCTACATTGATCACTCCGTTTTTTATTCACTGTAAATCATATCAGCAGATGTTGTTATACATAATTTGGTAAAGTATTCACGTTATATAATCCATGTTGTACCATCTTTTTGATCCTAGAAGTTTGATTAAAACTTTACCCCAGAATCAGATTTGACATTTGAACTACAAAACGAAGCCAACCTTGGTAACTGGTTAAAGTGGACTGAAGTGGAAGAGAAAATGCGATGTGAGTTAATTAATTAGTAACTTAATAGTTAATCTGTAAAACGCCGTCAATTAATGTATCGTTGTCCCTAAAATTGTTTAAATTTTCAATTCATTTTTGAAGTCATATTGATAACAAGTTTTCATTAAATTGTGATGTATTTAATTTTTAATTTGTGAACTGTGCTCGTAACCTAGTCGTTCTTCAATCTTCAGGTCACATGATATTCCTGGGGGAACTGTACAACTTTGGTGAGCTACCAATAAAGGTTATCCTGGGTCGTGTGTTAAAGATGTTTGAAACGAAAGGCAGCAGACATCTTGACTATCTCAGTATTGGAGGTTTGTTGTTGTAACACGTGACCTTTTTGTGTTTCTTGTTTATTAGCGTTATTTTAATCACCATGGTGTTCACAACGATGAATATTGAATATGTGACAAATATAATACATAATTATTATCAATTATGTATATCTAATGGTGTGTTTCCCTCCGAAGGATTGTACGAGTTGCTGAGAGTAGCAGGACCGAAGTTAGATGTAGAGTTAGCAGAGTTAGCACCTGATGACGTCATCAAACAGTATCAGAGGACTGTGGAAAACTTGCAGGATCTCTATAAAGGTACACAATATTACATAATTAGTGGACTCAATTAGTTGATGGTTTTCATTCCTCATCATCTGAGTGTAGTTTACTTACAAATCAAGTATTATTCTGCAATTAAATTAAACTTAAATGTTAATTCAGCCGAATTCAGAGGTCGTATCTGCCGGTCAGGACTAATTTTGACATATTATTTACCGACTATTTGACTATTTATTTACCGTCCTGGAAGTATAATTCCTAAAAATGGTCACTGCAATTGGTTTGCCTGTCAGATGAGACGTACCCGTCCCACGTACGAGATAAAGTGTGGGAGATTCTACAACTAAAGAAGGCCGGGTGGAAACAGTCGTCCAACTCAGCTGAAAAGAAGGCGGAGCGTGCTGCTCTGGCCAAATCTGCAAAGAGCGCCGGAACACAGAAATCACAGACAGAGAAGGCGGCTAGTTCAACTCAAACTGATCTTAGGAAAACTGCTATAACTAGCAGTACAGCTCAGACTGCAGCTCAGACTGCAGCTAAAACTGCAGCTACGAGTAGTAACACGGCTCCTGTTGGAGCAGCTCACAATAACAGCTATACAGGGGTGAAGCTGGGTAATGAGAAGGTGACTGGACGTAAGTAGTTGCTAATTTACAGTTTTTAATTTTTAGCTATTGCTTCGAGGTTAAAAAGATTATTCAATCTAGTTGACTATCCATACATTCCATTGCTTTTATAATATGTTTCATTTCACGCATCTTACAGCATCAAGGTTTTTAGCAGGTGGTCATCATTCCACAATTGAGATTAAGTTGACATGTCAGATAGCGCAATCAAATCATTTCTATTCGTATCATTAATCTAATTTTAGAAAATATGATCTGAAAGCAAACCTGCTAAAACTGATCACTTTCAGTAAATGCGAGCGCTGCACCGTACGTCCCAACGTCACGTGACGTCCCGGCGTCACGTGACGTCAGGAGAACTTCTCCTCAATCTGTGAGCACTCCTCCACAACCATTGGTCGTTAAACCTACCAATCAGGTGAGTCAGGTCTAACATTGTTACAATCTCAATATTTTGTATCAATGGCCAAACTTGTAAATTCGTTCTATTTTGTAACATGACAATGGAGCGAGTTTTGACTTTTGGATATATGCAATATTTGTAAGTAAGTATTTGCCAATTTGTGAGTCTTAAAATATCTGATGACGTATGATGATGCACCAATTATTACTTTCTGCGTGTTATTTACTTTATTAAGTGTAAAAAATTTAGACGAATCCTTCTAAAAAGCTAACATTTGCCGGCACTGCTTTAAAAAAGCATAGGTTTGCTTATCATTATCAAAGTATCAAGCATTCAATATTTTTTTTCGTCACTCGTCACTTTTAAAAACCTGAAAATCTCAATTAATTTTAAAAGCTTGACTACTAATAAGCTTTACTACAAGGCAATTGTAAGATTTCCCAATTTTTATCGTTCCAGTTTCAAATTCGTTCCAAATGTCGCTGCAATCACTTATTTCTCACATAATCTTTCGACCACCCCAAACATCGTTTGAAGTCAATGAAGTGTCCACTGATAAAATACAAGAAAAAGTTACTGTGAGATAATTTTAATTGGATATATTCTAGATTTTAAAATTGACCAGTTACTTTCCAGTTCCTACAAAACCATCTTTATATTTTCCTACTATTAAATGGGACGATCCAACCCTACAATTTCAGCCGAAGTTCTCATCGAACACCAAGATAGACAACCAGATAAAAGATAACCTGAGTAAAGCCTGGAAGAATGTAACGGATTGTAACTACTCTCAAGCTATTAGTAACTATAAAGAGTGTTTGGTTCTCTTCAACGTTTTGAGTAGTCCTCACCAGCACATGGTTTGTAGCTACAGTTGGGGTTGGGGTTGGTGGGACCTATACCAGGGTCAGGAAGTAGGGATTGCCATTCCTACGTTTTCAGGTTAATTTTGTGATGGCGAAAAATTACAATAATTTGTATGGGTAAATTATACCCTTTATCCAACTGAAGGGAGTGTTAGGAACATAAATCAGTTTGGAAATTCTCGTCCAAGTGATAAAACACCATTTATTGATAAACGCTGCAACTAAATGGTTCCAGTTGAGCGTACATACAATGAGTGCATTCTACTACGCTGCTCTTCCTTTAATTTCGCCATGTAATTGAATCCAGGTTGTGTCTGTTATAGTCGCAGTTAAATTGGGTTCAGTTGTTTAGCCGTTACACTTTACAAATGTCAAGAGACAGGTAACAATGCAGGGAAAGAACTGGATAACAATTGGGTCAAATCGAGTGGATAGGGTAGCCGTTTTACTATAGATAATTTAGTAGAAAATAAAAATGTCGATTTTCATTAACTAATTGTAAAATGAAAATAATCTAATCTCTCATCAGGATGGTACTCTGTTGTGTCTGTATGTTCTGTTAACTGAGTATGAAACTAAAGATACCAGTTTGGAAACAGAGTCACTTTACAAGAAGATACAAGGAATTAGTCATAAGACATTCCCGATTGTAGACTACATCCATCTTACTCAGCTATCAAAGGTTCTTCTAAGATACATCCTTTTTTTGTGGATTGTTCTTTGCACGGTTCAGTGTCCCTCCAATAATTTCTGTCCAGTTAATTTAACTAACAATATTTATGGTAGGTGGGTTACGTGTAATAATGTTTGTGTCATAATTATTTGATTTGATATGACTTAAACAGTAATTAAACTCTAGGGCTGTGAAGATTTCAAGGTCATGCTAACCCATTTCGTGCGACTCAATAAAGCTGTAGAAGAATCGTGGAGTTTGGTTTACTATCCGCTCTCCCAAAGATTACTGGAAGAATCTACTCAAGGTAATTGTTCAGTGGGATTTATTAAATAGAGTTTAATATGTAATGACAAGAACATTGGTGAAACGTACCTATGTGCCGCCCCCTTTAAATTATATATACATACAGCTTTTTGCCTCCCCTGAGCACATATTGTATCCCCCTTGGCGCATATTGTACCCTCTGCCCCCTAGTCTGGCCTTCCTGTGGCATGTGATTTAACTTGTGATTTATCTTGTACGAAACCTGCTAGTTTGACTGGCAAAAGACACGGTTTTGTAACGCGCAAAAATATTTAGCTATGAAAATACCCCAGACGCGCACCACTACCAGATCGCGCGCAATTTTAATATATTTTAATAATTTGATTTAATTTAAATATATAATTAATATATAATTAATTGCATGAATTAATAAAACCTGCAATATTAAGTCAAAATTGTGCGCGTCGAGCATATAAATTATAATAGCAGCTGTATGAGTAGGCGGTACCAGTTAGAGAGTTTCTGTCTTGCTTGTGATTTAGGAGTTCATGAATCCGAGATTTTGGAAACATTTTGGAAACATGTGTCAGAATTGTGTCAGAATTGTGTCCGATTTGGAAACATGCCTTTGTAGCCGCAATTATGCCTGGACTAACTTGAAATCGATCTGGTATGGTAGAGGGACATGTGTACTAACATTTCTAACCACTCAGAAGTGCGAAATATTGCCCTGGTTCATGGAATGAACGAAATGAACAAAAAATGAACATTGTCCTAGAATCGCCTAAAATAAGCTGAAACCGATTGGGATCGATTGGTATTAATACCACAAGTGTCCCTGAGAAGTTTGGTGGGTCTAGCATGTCCAGAAAGGGCTCTGGGGCAATGTTTCCATTTTGGTGTCAGAGTAGTTGAGCTCGTGGAAACATTTGTGTCCGATTTGGAAACATGCCCTTGTAGCCGCAAGTATGCCTGGACTGACTTGAAATCGATCTGGTATGGTAGAGGGACATGTGTACTAACATTTCTAACCACTCAGAAGTGCGAAATATTGCCCTGGTTCATGGAATGAACGTAATGAACAAAAAATGAACATTATCCTAGAATTGCCTAAAATGAGCTGAAACCGATTGGGATCGATTTTTAATGATACCACAAGTGTCCCTGAGAAGTTTGGTGGGTCTAGCATGTTCAGAAAGGTCTCTGGGGCAATGTTTCCATTTTGGTGTCAGAGTAGTTGAGCTCGTGGAAACATATTTTGTGTCCGATTTGGAAACATGCCCTTGTAGCCGCAAGTATACCTGGACTGACTTGAAATCGATCTGGTATGGTAGAGGGACATGTGTACTAACATTTCTAACCACTCAGAAGTGCGAAATATTGCCCTGGTTCATGGAATGAACGAAATGAACAAAAAATGAACATTGTCCTAGAATCGCCTAAAATAAGCTGAAACCGATTGGGATCGATTGGTATTAATACCACAAGTGTCCCTGAGAAGTTTGGTGGGTCTAGCATGTCCAGAAAGGGCTCTGGGGCAATGTTTCCATTTTGGTGTCAGAGTAGTTGAGCTCGTGGAAACATTTGTGTCCGATTTGGAAA